GAACCCGGGAGGTGGAGGTTGCGGTGAGCCGAGATCGCACCATTGCACTCCAGCCTGGGTAACAAGAGTGAAACTCCGTCTCAAAAAAAAAAAAAAAAAAAAAAAAAAAAATGTAGAAAGAATGATGGCTAGAAGACCAACATTTTGCAAGTCGCATAAGTGACCTGGGCATTAAAATCACTGGTGGAAGTCTGCTAACACAGGATGTTTATATACTTTTTAACTACAAAGAAAAAAATAATCTTTACCTTGCAAAAATGACAGACATTATCTTAACCAGTTGTTGCTAACACTACCAATAAGAGAACAAACAAATGTCACATGCCTCCTGATGTAATAAGCAGTGAAAAGACACAACTTATATAGTATTTCTGGCAAAAAGTTCATTCCTGAATCTAATTATAACAACCTAAATTGGAGGGACATTCTACAAACAACTGGCCTTCCTTTTAAAATGTCATATAAGCTGGATGTCGTTGCATGCGCCTACAGTTCCAGCTACTAGGAAACTGAGGCAGGAGGATCTCTTGAGCCCATGAGTTCAAGGCTGCAGTGAGCTATGATCACACCACCACACTCCAGCCTAGGCAACAGAATAGAAATTGTGTAAGTCCACAGTTTGCAGAGTCTAGCCTGAACAACAGGGAGACCCACCTCCTAGAAAAAAAAAATTTAAAGAGGAAAAAAAATAGTAATACTGACAACAATAGATATAACAAACAGAAAAACCTGAGATCATACTGAAGCTAAAAGTTATAAGTAAATAAATGCAGTCTGGGTGACACAGTCAGGCCCTGTCTCCAAAACAAACAAACAAAATGTCATAAAAGCTGGGGCAGTGACAGACACCTATAACCCCAGCTACTTGAGAGACTGAGGCAGGAGGATCACTTGAGGCCAGTTAGAGGCTGCAGTGAGCTATGATAGCACCTGTGAATAACCACCGCACTCCAGACTAGATCGTGAGACAATGTCTCTGAAATTAAAAAAAAAATTTAAAAAATCATTTGTCATAAAAGACAAAAAACAAGATGAAGAGCTATGCAAAAGTGAAGGATAGGCCAGTCGTGGTGGCTCATGTCTGTAATTCCAGCACTTTGGGTAGCCAAGGCAGGCGGACCATCTGAGGTCAGGAGTTCAAGATCAGCCCAGCCAACATGGCAAAACCCTGTCTCTACTAAAAATAACAAAAATTGGTCGGGCATGATGGTGTATGCCTATAGTCCCAGCTACCTGGGAGGCTGTGGCAGGAGAATCACTTGAAACCAGGAAGCAAAGGTTGCAGTGAGTGGAGATTGTGCCACTGCCTGGGAGACAGAGTGAGACTCCATCTCAAAAAAAAAAAAAAAAAAAAAAAAAACCTGGGTACGGTGGCTCACGCCTGTAATCCTAGCACTTTGGGAGGCCAAGGTGGGTGAATCACCTGAGGTCAGGAGTTCAAGACCAGCCTGGCCACCATGGTGAAACCCCATCTTTTTTTTTTTTAATAGCATTTTAGGTTTGGGGGTACATGTGAAGAACATACGAGATTGTTGCATAGGTACACACGTGGCAGTGTGATTTGCTGCCTTCCTCCCCATCACCTGTATCTGGCATTTCTCCCCACGCTCTCTCCCCCCAACTCCCCACACCCCCGCTGTCCCTCCCCTATTCCCCCCACCAGACCCCAGTGTGTAGCACTCCCCTCCCTGTGTCCATGTGTTCTCTTTGTTCAACACCCACCTATGAGTGAGAACATGTGGTGTTTGTCTGCTCTTGTGTCAGTTTGCTGAGAATGATGGTTTCCAGGTTCATCCATGTCCCTACAAAGGACACTAACTCATCGTTTTTGATGGCTGCATAATACTCCTTGGTGTATATGTGCCACATTTTCCCTGTCCAGTCTATCATCGATGGGCATTTGGGTTGGTTCCAGGTCTTTGCTATTGTAAACTGTGCTACAATGAACATTCGTGTGCATGTGTCCTTATATTAGAACAATTTATAATCCTTTGGATATATACCCAGTAATGGGATTGCTAGAAACCCGATCTTAAAAAAAAAAAAAAGAAAAATTAGCTGGCTGTGGTGGGGTGTGTGTGTAATCCCAGCTACTCAGGAGGCTGAGGCAGAATTGTTTGCACCCAGGAAATGGAGGTTGCAGTGAGCTGAAATCACCCTACTATACTCCAACTTGGATGACAAAGCAAGACTCCATCTAAAAAACTAAATAATAAATAATAAGGATAAACAGCAATTCAAGTTTTTTTGTTTTGGAGACAGAGTCTCACTGTGTCACCTAGACTGCAGTATAGTGGTGCGATGAAAGCTCACTGCAACCTTTGCTTCCCAGGCTTAAGCGATCCTTCCACTGCAGCCTCCTGAATAGCTGGGACTACAGGTGCATGCCACCATGCCCATCTTTTTGGTATTTTTTGTAAAGGCAGGGGTTTCACCATGTTGCCCAAGCTGGTCTCAAACTCCTGGACTCAATGATCTGCCCTCTTCAGTGTCCCGAAGTGCTGGGATCACAGGTGTGAGCCACTGTGCCCAGCTGAGACATGACAACTGAATACAATGAGTGTTGTCACTTGCCTTAAAACAGAAATGGCTACAAAAGACAATATTGGGACACCCAGCAAACTTGAATATGAACTATATATCAGAAGACAATATGGTATCAATGCTACTACCACCTCTGAATTATATAATTGTACTATAGTTAGGTGAGCTAATGTACTTGTTCTTAGGAGATAATCATGACATTATTTAGGGATGAATGACCCACCCCCCAAATAGTTTAGCAATAAAGCAAATGTGATGAATGTTAAAAATGATAAATCCTGGTGAAGGGCATACATGAGTTTGTTGTACAATTATTTCATTGTTTTGAAATGTTTTCAAAATAATTTAAAAACCAGTAAGACCTCATTTAATCAGTGTAGAGTAATGGGATATTCTCCTCTAGTAAACTAAAGCTGCTCCTTAATCCATTGGCTCAAAAAGTTTCCATAAAAATCTTTCTTGTAGCCATAAAAAGGAATGAACTCATGTCTTTTGCAGGGACATGAATGAAGCTGAAGCCATCATCCTCAGCAAACTAACAAAGGAACAGAAACCAAACACCACATGTTCTCACTCATAAGTAGGAGCTGAACAATGAGAACACATGGACACAGGCAGGGGAACACCACACAACGGGGCCAGTTGTGGGGGGCGGCGGGCCAAGGGGAGGAGAAGAGCATTAGGACAAATAGCTAATACATTCAGGGCTTAAAACCTAGAAGATGGGTTGATGGGTGAAGCAAACCACCATGGCACATGTATACCTATGTAACACGCCTGTACGTTTTGTACTTGTATCCCAGAACTTAGGGTAAAAAAACAAAACTTTTTTTTTTTTTTTTAGTAGAGACGGGTTTTCACCTTGTTGTTGACCAGGATGGTCTCCATCTCTTGACCTTGTGATCCACCCACCTCGGCCTCCCAAAGTGCTGGGATTATAGGCGTGAGCCACCGCGCCCATCCAAAAAACAAAACTTTCTAAAATGTGTTACCCTTTTTTCCTCCTGATTAAGAAATTGCAGAGTGAACCCAATAAAAATCTTCTCTAAAAAGCAATAGTTCTCAAACTATGTGCACTGAATCGATTGGGAAACTGAGAAATCCTGATGCCCAGGCTGCACCTCACACCAATTAAGTCAGAATGCAGACTGGGTAAAGCCCAGGCCTAAGTAATTTTTAAGGCTCCCAGATGGTTCCACTGTGTAGCTATGTTGAGAACACTGCCCTGTATAAGACTTCTACCCACTGTTGTAATTCTAACTTCTGGGACCACCAATCGATTTCTTCTTTCTTTCTGGAGCATGTGGGAACACTGAAGACAGCCATCATGTGCCTCTCCTTCCCCTCCAATCTCCCTTCAGTGTGCAACATCTCTCATTCCTTTAGGTGCTCTTCTGGACTCTGAATTATGGTAAGGTACTTGCTAGGGCACATGTACTCCAAAAGGCATGACTCTTAATATCCCCAAACTGCAAACATCCCAAAGTCCACCAACAGAAAATGGACAAATTGTGATATATCCATATGACTGAATACTACACAGCAATAAAAACTACACCTATTCCAAATATTGATGAATCTCATACTGTTAAGAAATCAACATGAAAAGAAAACATGATTCCATTTATATAAAGTTCAAATGCCGACAAAATTAAACAACATTTCTAGAAGACAGAATGGTGGTCACCTGTAGGAAGAAAGGAAGCAGCAATGATTGGGAGTATAAAGGAGGCTTTGAAGTGTTGGCTGTGTTCTAATTTCTTTACTGAATGTGGTTATTCACATTTGCTTTGCGTTAATTTAATGAACTGTATACTTGTTTTGGGTATTTTCCTATATGTATGATATAAATGTTATTATGAGACCCAAGATAAAAGATATGAAAATCCATTTTAATCATTCAAATCACCATGTACAGAATGGCTGTTGCTGTTACCCAACTCTTTCATTCCTCTCTGAGCTCTGGAACCAAAGTGTCTGGGTTCAGTCTCAGCTCTACCATTTACTAGCTGAGGACGTTGTGCAAATCTGTGTCAGTTTCCTCAAGTATAAAATGAGAACACTGTCATTTCAGAACACTTCCTCCAGTTTTCACTGATAGTAGGTACCTATCATATGTGATATATTCTTAAGATGGATATGATAGTATAGATACCTACTATCTAAGTGACTGAAAACTGTAGGAAGAAATATAAAGTGCTTATAACACAGCCTGGAATATAGTAATAAATAGTAGCAGCTGCTACTACTCTTGGCCTCAGAGTCTCTGTGGATGTACAAGGGAGAAGCTGGGGTCTTTCCAAGATGGGAAACTTCCAGAAGAAAATTAAAATTGTTTCCTTCTCTTGGAACTCTTGGATGAGGTGGATGCTGGCTTCTGCTATCAGTCAGATGTCCAGTCTGGCTCTCACCAAGGACCCAAGGAAAAGCAGGGGGAGAACAATTAGACAGGAACATTTCACCACTAAAAAGGCTTTTATTACAAAACGAACTCTAATAAAACCAGATCTGGTCTTCAACTCCCCTTCCCGCCGCCCTTCACTGGGTAGAGGCCCTAGGGTGGGCTGGGGTAGGGGAGATGGGTGTGGTGGACCCTGAAAGAACCAAGCAGGCTGCCTTTCTCTCATCAGTCTCAGCCGCTGCCCTCCTTTTATAAAGGGATAGAAGAGCTCTTCCAAAGCCCCTTGAGAGAGTCCCCATCCTTCCAACCAGGACCACTGCTGTCACAGGACCTTAGCAATGCCGCATTGCAGGATCCAGGTGGTCTTGGCTGGCTCTCAGCAGAGGCCACCCAGGGTCACTCAGCCTGAGCGATGGCGTAGGAGAGCAACCACAGCAGCAGGGGGCCCAGAACGAGGACAGCACACCAGACAGCAAAGCTGGCCAGGATGATTTTCCGGGCCCGGGCCCCCCAGCGCACTGCCTCCTCGAACCGGCCTGCCTTATGCCGCTCTTCCGCCTGTGGGGGCAGGTTCTTGGTTAGGTTTTCCTGCTGTTTCTGCCCCAATGTGCCCATTTCCCCACTCCACTCCTCCTTCTCTGCCACAGATCAAAACCTCACATCCAAACCCTCTACCTCCCTTTCTAGTTTCTGATTCTCACCTCTGATCTGCAAAATATGATAACCATCTCTGGGCTCTGCCTACTTCTCAGGGTGGCCACAGTTACCTCACAAGATCGCACAGGGGAAAGTACTTTCCAAGTCTTTTATTCCCATTCTTTTCAAACATCCTAGATTGATTCAAAATTTGTAACCACTGGCAAGAAACAGTGAGCCTGGAGTATTTCACTCATGCCCAAACACTACCTCATTCTCATAGTCCATTGGGCCTCATCTGTTTCATGTTTTTTTTTTTGAGACGGAGCTTCACTCTCGTCACCCAGGCTGTAGTGCAATGGTGCGCTCTCACTGTAATCTCCGCCTCCCAGGTTCAAGCAATTCTGCCTCAGCCTCCCGAGTAGCTGGGATTACAGGCGCATGCCACCACACCTGGTTAATTTTGTATTTTTAGTAGAGACGTGGTTTTATCATGTTGGCCAAGCTGGTCTCGAACTCCTGACCTCAAGCGATCTGCCCACCTCAGCCTTCCAAAGTGCTGGAATTACAGGCATGAGCCATAACACCCAGCCTCTCTGTCATCATTAAGGACTCTTTTTAGTATTTTGTCCTAATGGAACCCCGAAATTCTTATAGTAAGTTTCTGTTAAAAGGTCTAGGGTTGAGAAAATTCCAGGATGAAGTTTAAGTTAGTCTGTGTAGTCTTTCCAAAAGGACATGTGCTGTATTAAAAACAGGCGAAGCCCTCTCAAAAACCCAATAGTGTCTTCCAGACTCCTGGAGATTGTGCTCACCACCATTCAGCTGCCTCCAGCCTTGCACCCTCTAAGTCACCTTCCATGTAGGCCTTGAGAGTGGATCTTTCTAAAACTCATATTTGACCAAGTCCCTTTCCCTGCAGGAACCATTCAATGGTTCCCCAGTACTTTTAAGACAAAGTCGAAACTCTTAAGCATAGAATTGGAGGCCCTTGGGAATCTGGGTCCTCTGGCTTCATCTCTCAGTATTCCTCACTGGTCCAGTTGTGCTCCACAGGCCTTTGTACACACTACTCCCTTGACCCAGAATGCCCTTCCACCCTTTTTCACTCACCCTTTAAGGTTAATTCCTGTCACCTCTCCTAGGATGCCTTTCCAGTCACCTACTCTACCACATACATGTACATAATCATATATATATATATATATATATATATATATATATATATGTATGTATATATATATCCTCCCTGGCTCCCAGAGTGTCCTGTGCTTCTTGTATTACAGTACTGATGAACTGCATTCTATGAATTACCCATTTTCACTGCCATCTCTTTCATTAGTCCTCTGACAACAAGGAACACTGTCTTATTATTATTTCTGACACTAGGCCCAGAACCGAGCATTGATAGGTATTCAGTAACCGTTTGGTCAATGTAGATAGATCAGATACATGAACCCATTGCCTTATACCCACCCCCCTGTTCCCATGGGAATTGCACTCCTCACCTTGATGGCAAACACCAGAGCCATGACTCCCAGGCAAGAGCAGCCACAGATAATGCTAGTAGCTGCCAAGTAGCGGAGGCGGAGCCAGCAGCAGCGGATGGGGGATGGAGGATGAGCAGCTTCCGTGTTGCTCATCAAGATCTCCACTGCCTTCTCCTCGTCCTCCATCACCTGTGGGCGATAGTCAAGGTACTTGTGAGCCCAACAACTGAGCCCTTGGCCTTGCTTGCTCAGACTCCACCCCTCAAGAGCATTCTGTTCTCATGGCCTAGCCTGGCAGTCAGGAATGCTACCTTACTGGGGAATTCCTCTAGTGACTCACAGAACAGGAGAGGAAATGTGTGGCTGGAATCCTTTTACCTGAGCTTGAGGTTTTGAGTGTTTGAAAGCAAGCCAGTGTGGACATGGCATTATCTGTATTATTTAGTGTTTCGACAAGTGGGAAGAAGCCAAATGACAGGCAGACACCGAGAAGCAGGAGAAATACAGACTCTTGAAAGCTGCTATGAATCTGTTACTTTAATCTGTATTTCAAAGGGCCCCAAATTCCTTAGAGGCTGCCCCCTGAATATTACAGATGTCAGAGAACAGGACCCTAGGTACTACACCCCATTTCAAGCAAAGTGGCCATTTTACATGAAAACAGTGATGGGAATGGAGAAAAGTAAGGATAATGTACCCAAGTAAGCCCTTTTTTACCACTGAAACCAAACACCAGAAAGACCTTCCCTAAGTCAGGGCCACCTCCTCTTCATTTTAACCCAGGCCACACAACACAATTATACTAGCACACTGAGTCCAAAACCTCATTACTCCACAGAAACCTGCATGATGCCCTAGTTAATCATTGTCTCCCTTCTTCTCAGGTCCTCTAGCCCTGGTATCAAACCACCTTTCTATCCTTATCTCCAACCACTCCCCTATAACCCAGACAAAATGAACACCTGTGGCCTCCTGAACCCAAGTAACAAAAGATAGGAAGGGTGAAAGAGGTGAGACAAGCAGAGAGCAAAGAATGATGTGTGCCAAAAAGCTGCAGGGAAGTAGGTATGAAGAAATAACTCGGATGAGATAAATACAGAGCCAATAGGAGGATATAAGGAGGGCCCAGGGAGTGGAGAGAGAATGTAAAAATGAACAGGGATCTTACCTGGCTATAGGCCTTGAGGGACTCTGAGTTTCGGCTCCTGCCTCAGCTTTGGTTTGGCTTGGGTGGTGATGGAGCTGACTCAGGGCTCCAAGCCAAGCCCAGGGGTGGGGTTGGGTGGCCAGCCACCACCTGAAGAGTGCAGGGAGCTGGGAAGGGGTGTGGCTGACTAAAACCAGTTTAACTAGACGAAAAGCAGGGGAGGGCCAAGGGATGGAGCAACTGGAGCTAGTATGCCTGCTCTCTGGAAAAAGGAATGAAAGGAAGCACCTGAGCAAGAGGGATACAAGGGAAAGGTCTGAGGCATGAGAGAGCTCCAAGTCAAGTCCAGGAACAAAGGGAACAAAAAGGAGACAAAAAAGACGTCTGTGACTTCAAACTGACTTGGGAAAGGCACCCTACTTCAGATTCGCCAATCTTTCCTCTTCTTGGGTAGATTTCTGCCTCAAATATACAATCCTGGGCTAGAGATCAGGTGCCAGGGTCTTTGCAAGAGCAAGAGAGGAGAATAACGATGCCCAAGTTCCCACCCAACCCTCCACCAGACCAGAAAATCAGAAGCCTCCTTACGCGGATGCTCATACAGAAACTAAGTTTATTATTTTTTTCTTCTTAAAAAAAAAAAGAAAAAAAGAAAAAACCTCATTGTAGAGAAGCCCCTCCCCTTTCCCCTAAGGGTGGGGGGCTGTGAAAGACAGCTGGGGAATCAAGTACAAGGGGGTGGGGACAGAGACTATCTTGCCACCCTTAACACTACCCAGCCACGTGGGGTGAAGGGGAGGGGGACTGTGATGATCCCCATTTCCATGACAACCAGTTGCCTACCCCCTACTTTGGTGGGAAAAAAGGAGAAGGCCCCTTTGTCTCCCTGGAGGCTTTCCCCCTCAAGACTTCAAGTAGTGGTTAACAGAGTCAGGCCTGGTCATGGAGGGAGCGGCCACAGTGGAAAGCCTAGGTGGAGGGGCAGCCCACTCACGTCTTGGCCTTGCGGCCTCTGTGACTAACAGCAGGGCCAGCCAGGGAGGAAGGGGCGCTGCTGCGCAGGATGCGCTGGTCCCCTTGGTTGGTGGTCCCAACAAGCCTGCGGGGGCCAGGCCGTCGGTGTGGGGTCCCATCCCCTTCCTCCTCCTCACCTGAGGGTTCAGGCTCAGACTCCTCTACTGAACCCTCAGGCCCCAGGGGACTTGGGGGCTGTAGACGGCCCCGCTTCGCCAGCCCAGGACCCCCACCAACTGGGGCCCCTGCTCGTTTGCGAGGCACCTTCTCAGTCTCTAGTGGGGTGACTAGAGACCCTGGACGCAGCCGGGTCGAGCGCAGTTTTGGGGCCGAGACCACAGGAGGTGTCAATTCCAGCCCGCCTGGCCCAGTATCTGCTAAGTCCAGGTCATCCTGAATTACAGCCACCACCATGGACCCTCCGCTCTTCCGTCCTCGAATTCCCTCTGCTTCAAGCCGAAGGCGGGCCAGGCGGGTAAGGGGGCGGCTTCCATCCTCATCAGAAGAACTACCCTCACTCTCCCCCTGGCCCTGGGGTTGCCGTCGCCTCCCCAATCCACAGCTTTCAAGGACAGAAGTGCTGTCACGGTCCAACACAGGGAGCTGGCTGGGCCGAGGTGACGGAGGATTCTTGGGAGGTCGGCCTCTCTTCCGTTTGGGTGGGGACGTTGAAATGTTGACAGTGGTGACAGTGTTGGCAACAGTAGCGGAGGGACAAGCTAGCAGTGGTGGGAGTGGGGGTGGCTGTGTCCGACTTTCAGAGTTGCCATCCCCTGGAGAGGAAATGGTCCCAGGGATGGGCAAATCTCGTGCCTTAGGGGGCCGCCCTCGCCTTCTTTTCTCCACAGGTGACAGGATGGGATTGGGTCTGTGAACTGGCTGGGGTCCAAGAGGCTGGGGCCCAGGAATCAGCTGTGGTTCCAGGACAGGCTCTGCAACAATTAGGGTCCCAGCCCCAGGGACTGGGTCAGCCCCATTGGTTTTTCCCTTCGAGGTGAATGAGGGTGCCTCATCCACACCTCTCCCAGCATCTGCTGGAGACCTGTTCTTGGGAGGCCTCCCCCTCCGACGTTTCACAGCAGGAGGGGTGATGGCGAGCAGTGCTCCGTCTCCATTCTCTGGGGTACCACCACCAGTCACCCCCAGCTCAATGTGACGGCGAGCGATGAAGGGCTGCTGCAGTGGAGTGGGCAGTGAGGATGAAGGAGCAGCTTCACAGGGCCCACTAGCGGGAGGGGAGGATTCTGGCCCTGACATACTTCGGACAGACGGACTTCCCGGGCTGGCACTAGTCTCAGAGACCCCCGACACTAAGGTGCTGGCAGCTCCCCGCTGCTGCCGCCGCCGCCGCACCAGTTCCTTTTCCTCTACCACAGTTACTAGCCGTCCTGGCAGCTTTCGAAGTACTTTGGGGCCTGGTGGTTGCCCTGGCCGACCAGTCCCTTGACCCCTAATTTCCACATCAGCACTGGTGCGACGCCGAGGAGGTCGAGCAGGTGAAGGACCCTCAGGCGAGGAAGTGGCTGAAGATGAGGTGGATGGAGCTGCAACCTCAGCTGTTATGAGTTCCTGTGGCTTCTCTGGGCTGAAGGTTGGGGTCTGGGCCTCTGCCAGATCTTCTGAGTTCCTGTCAGCCTCCAAGGGCTCCTGAAGTGGCTCATCAGATGCTGCTGAGGGTGGGAGCTCCAAGCCATTGCTCTCACTCACACACAGGGGCAACTCCTCACCTTCAGGCAGCACTGTAAGGGTGGTCCCCTCAGCAGAATCTGGTGCCTCCTGCTCTTGACCGTTGGGGACGCTGCCAGCCTCCAAGGTTGGGCTGGATGCAGAAGGGGTGAGAGAAAGGTTCTCCTCTGACACAGGCAAGATCTCCACAGCAACTGGCAACAGATCTTTAGGAGGCACAAGAGTAAGTGAGGAGGTCTCTGAACTGGCCACAGTAGCCAGTTCCAGGGACTCTGGAGATGCCAATGCCTGGGCACACAGTTCTGCCTCAGGCCTCAAGCCCAAGGGGAGGCCGGTGACTGGGGGAGAGATGGGCACAGAAGGTGGACCAACCAAGAGAGGGAACGAAGGAGTTAAAAGAGAGGTTTGGGCTAGAGGAGGGGTATGAGCTGGTGGTGGGGTACAGGCGGGAGGAGGGGTACAGGCAGGAGAAGAACAAGGAGCAATCTGTGAAGGAGGAGGGGGAGGAGAAGGCAAGATATGGACAGGAAGAATGGTTACTGGATTTGGGGCTGAAATGGGTAATGGGACAGAGACTGGGACAGGGACAGGGGCAGGAATTGCAGCCGGAGCTGAAGCTGGAGTGGGTCGAGGCCTAGGTGCTGGCCTCGGAACTCGCTCCCTGGCAGGACTGCAGCGGGGCGGTGTGGTGGTGCTGCGAGTTTGATGGGCAGATATGACAGGAGTGTGGTTTGCCCCTTGAGTCTCAGCCCGGGCTCCACGAAGACGCTCACTGACACGAGTCCCTGGCCTCTCAGGGGCTTTGGCCTTTTTACTGCGCCTGTGGCTGCCTCCACCAGTCCCACAGGAACTCTCATCCCCAGCCCCCAGTCCCTCCTCTTCCTCCTGGGGTAGGCGGAACACTTCCTCCTTGGCTTGGTCCAGGTCTTTTCGGGCAGCTTCCACTTGCTCCTACAACAACAGGGCCCACAAGTGGTCAGGAGGAGGCAAGGAGGGTAGAGAGAGAGTAGAAATTAGCAGCTTCCAGGCTGGGCGTGGTGACTCATGCCTGTAATTCCAGTACTTGGGGAAGTTGAGGCTGGTGGATCACCTGAGGTCAGGAGTTCAAGATCAGCCTGGTATCTTGAACATGGTGAAAACCCATCTCTACTAATAATACAAAAATTAGCCAGGTTTGGTGGCGCACGCCTGTAGTCCCAGCTACTTGGGAGGCTGAGGCAGGAGCATTGCTTGAACCAGGGAGGTGGAGGTTGCAGTGAGCTGAGATCACACCACTGCACTCCAGCCTGGGTTAACAGAGCGAGACTTTGTCTCAAAAAACAAAAAAACAAAAACAAAAAAGAAAAGAAACTAACAGCTCCCCACTGCCAGACCCACCCCTGGAAATACTCACTTCTGCCTGTTTGAGCTCCTCTCGGCTCACCTCCTCCAGTGAGGCCTCCAGGAATTTCATGGCATAGCGCTCAATGGGGGTCAGCTGCAAAGAGGAGCAGTGGTGATAAACGTAGGAACCTGGTACCTGGTATCCAGGGTCCCACCACCCTTGTTTATTCCCACCAGGGAAGACAGAAGGATGGTCACAAGTCGAGGGGAAACACACAAATGCTCAGACCCAACAAGAACTAGTGGGTCAACACTGACCTGTTCTACAAGGGCAGCAATTTCCTGCTCAGCCCGGGACATCTCCTCATCCTCAGCCCCAGGCCGGCCGGCCTCCTCTCCCTCACCAGCAGGAAACCCATCGTTCTCATTAAATTCTGCAAGCTCAGCCACCTGTTCAGCCTTGGCCTGGGTGGCTGCACGGATATCCTCCTCATCTTCTGCCCGACACAATGCCTACCAGGGTGTATAAAAGGAAGAGAAAACATGAGACTTCAAGTACTTTACATCCTGTGATTTGATTCAAGCAAAAACTTAAGACTAAGCGTACACAAACGAGGTTTGCAACAGAACTTAACAACCTCCTAGGCCTGCAGAGTTACCACAACTCAGTGGTCCACACAGGATGAAATGGATTTTACCAGGACTCCCATTAGGGGAAAATAACTATTTTAGAGATGACTTACTAGACTTCCTTTAACGTCAGCTTCAGCTCTCTTTAAAAAAAAAAAAAAAAGCCATCACAGAAAGATGTGAATAAAAACACACAATTCTTTTTTGCACTGAGATGGCTCAAGACAACATAGTGACCACACCTGCTCTTTCCAGAAAGCTCACATGAAAGCCACCAAGGCAAGGAGCCTACAGTACTCAGTGCGGAAAACATCTCCATGGTGCGCTCTGCCTGGGGTTCCTGAACGCCTGTCTACAGCTGGAGAGCTTTGAAAACACACAAATGCTCAGACCCAACACCTCAAAATTACAATTCAGATTTTGAGAGTGGGCCAAGGAGTAATTTTTTTCTCTGAGACAGAGTCACTCTGTCGCCCAGGCTAGAGTGCAGTAGCATGATCTTGACTCACTGCAACCTCCACCTCCTGTGTTCAAGTGATTTTCCTGCCTCAGCCTCCCAAGTATAGTTGGGATTACAGGCACCTACCAAGCCCAGCTAATTTTTGTATTGTTAGTAGAGATGGGGTTTCACTATATTGGCCAGGCTGTTATCAAAGGAATAAATCTTTTTAAAACCTTTCCAAATGTGACTTT